GACAAATCTGTTTGTTTTCCTAGCAGTCCATGGTATTCTCAATACTCTTCTCCAGCACCACAGCTCAAAGGCATTTGGTATTCAATCTCTCTTTTTAAAAATCTAGATATTGGAATTGTTTATACCTTGAACATGTATTATTTGAGTGAGTAAGAAGAAATCGCTATAAGCAATTAGATTTTAATTGGCACATATCTAGCGGTTATTTTTCTTGCTTTTATTAATACATCTGTTCCAATTCCAGTTACTAAATTTGAGAATTAAAATTATGAACTTTTAATAGCCACTGTTAAATTTGTATTTTAGTAAATTTTTTTTACATTTTTTTTCTTTTACAAAGGATGTTCATGTGTTTGCTTTGGAGTACAAAGTGGGAGATGGAAAGCGTATTTACCTCGTAACAACCTATGTTCAATTTTGGTTTTACTATAAATCCCGGTGAGTTTAGAAATGAACATTATGTTCTGTTTTGTTCATCTAGTATTTGTGACATTAATTCAGGTCGAATTGGCTTTCACAGTTTTTGACCACAGAATTAATTACTTCTTTGATGTTAGAATTGAGCTCCCTGAATACTTAATGTAGGTGTATTGACAGCATATAACAACAACAACATGTATACAGAAGGGAGCTCTGGTGGCCTAGTGGTGAGGAGCTGCACTGCCAACTTGAAGCCAGGTGGTTTGAATCCACCAACTGCTCCGAAGGAGAAAGATGGGCAGTCTCCTCATGTATGATTTACTCCCTTTGAAAACCTCCTGGAGGGTCAGCTGTGGGTCGGTTCTGTCGACACTACTTAATAACAACAACATGTATGCATAGCACGTGTATGTGTAGGTGCACACATATCCCCCCGAAACCCAAAGGGGATTCTGAACTTTCTCTTTGGTAAATAAATACGAAATAATATTAATTATCTAATAAGAAATTTTGATATTAAAATATATTGATCTGCTAAGTACTTTGCATACTTTAGTAATGTATAGAAAAGAGGTTTAGATTAATACAGATATCAGGGACCTGCCAGATTACTTAGGAGCACTGATGTCAGGTTGAAGACAAAGGTGTGCTGATTCAGGCCATGGTTACTTTATTCATTTGCTGTGTATCTAAGAGCTGGACACTGAATAAGGATGACAGAAAACTTCATGCCTTTGAGCTTTGGTGTTGAGGAAGAATACTAAACACCCTATGGATTTTCAGAAGAACAAACAGTTATGGCTGAGAGAAAGTGCAGCCAGAATGCTCCTTAGAGACAAAGGTGACAAAGCTTTGGAGAGGTTATTCCTTGGAAAGGGACATTATGCTTGGAAAGGTGAAGAGTTGGCAAAAGATAGGAAGATCCTCAGTGACATGAACTGACACAGTGACTACAGCAATTGTCCAAGTATGTCAGAAATCATAAAGATGGCACAGGACAGGACAGGGTTCACATCTGTTGTTCATAATGTTTCTAGGAGTCATACTCTATTCAGTGGCACCTAACAACAGTGACGTTGTTGTTAGGTGCCATAGGGTCATAGACGACTCACAGCAGCCCTGTCAATGAAAGACCTGTATAACTTCAGTCATTTCTCCAGGTTCTTAGAGTTTCCAGAGGCAAGCCATTTTGGAAGTGGATGCCACTCCTGCTTCCAGGCTTGTTTTAGTTGGGAAGCTCCAGCCAACACTGTCCACCATGGGTGCCCATTACCACGTTTGGCACATCAGTGTCACAGTGTTCAGCATCACAGTAACCACAAGTTACCTCTGTACAGCAACGCACAGACCAGTGCTATACCACCTAGAAGAATGTTTGAGAGGAAAACAATTTGAACCAGGCCTGAGGGCTGCAGATTAAAATCACCCACCTTAGGTTTGGTAGCATAACTTTCTGTCCACTAGGCCAATGTAGCTCTCTCTATGCTGCCAAACAAAAAGCTATTTAACAAGGAGGATGTGATGTATTCCCTCCCCTCACTCCCCTTAACGAATCAATTTTCCACCCTAATGCTCACCAATCTTGACCACCAAGCTCCTGTAGAAGCCAGCTCCTGTAGATGGCTTTCAAAATGGATTCCAGCCTCAGGCTGCTGACCAACAGTGACATATTGACTTAAAATATTTTTATTAAGTTTCTTAAGTAATTTCAAAATATAAAACTAGATTTGCCTCTGTTTTTGTATATGCAACATCAGTTAAATTTGATTTAAAATGATGTGACATGTTTTGCTTAAATATCTCTGAGCCTGCAATATAAATATGGTGCTGTTACAGAGCATGTATGTGTGTGTGTGCATTTTGTGTTTGTGACATTTAATGACATAATTCTTCCACCACTTTTTCTTGTTCATCTTAATTCAAACTTTTGCATAGAATGCCGTCTAAACTTCACTTAGCCGAAATAATTATTTATCTCTTAAATTAGCAATCCAAATTCCCATCTACATGTTAAATTAGCAAAAACTTGTGCTAGTTCGTGTCAGTGTTGTACTTTTTGTAAACCAGCAAGGTTATAACTTTAAAGCTAAAATTCCCTGGAAGTCAGATGATGAAGAAATCCCTCCCCCGCCCCCCAGTTGGAAAGCTATTGTCTTCCCAATGAAAATCCAACACTTAAATGTTCTCATGTGGAATACTTCAGTCATGGTATTCCAAGAACATGTGATCCTGTGTTGCAAACTGGAGAAAAGACAGTTCTTAGAGTTTGTTCCAGAGTGACAGCAAACCAAAGACAGAGATCTTACAAACTATTTTCAGATCATGTGTTAGTAATTAACAGGATGAGATTGACTTTGTTTGACAGAATATGATGTTATATTTTGTTTGGTAGAAATTTATGGTAGTATATGTTATTGTTGGAATTGACTCCTATCTGACCATGGGCAGGTTTCAGAGGCAGTAAATTGCTTGAGAGGAGAGAGCCCATCCTTCTCCTCCAGAGTACCTGGTAGATTCAAACTACATACCTTCCCATTGGCAGCGTAATTCCTAACCACTAAGCCACAAGACTGATAGTATATAGTATAAGCCGTAAACCAGTGATGGGCAGTTGTTTACTTTGTCATGTCTTCATTATATCAGAGTTTATATAATGAAATAGTGGTTTGCTTACCTAGTCTTTTGAGATATAAATTCAGCTTCTATGATTTGAAAGACTTAAGATATAAATCTCATCATCTCCAATTACTCAATTTAGCAAAACCCTCTTGCACTGCTATGAAGTTATTCCTGAAAATTCTGTGTGTAAGCTTTATTTCGATTTGGAATTCAGCAAACCTGCCAATCCAGGAGCTGATGGGCAGAAGATGGTTGCATTACTCATTGAGGTCAGTCACAGACTTAAGTTTTCTCCTTGTACCTTTTCAAACATGCATCTCTTTATTCACTTTTTTATTAATTGAATCCAGTCTATATGATACATAGATTCTGAAATACAGCTCCTTTTCTTTCGTCCATTCTTCCCTTTGCCTTTCATTGACTTCATTTCTGTGAGGAAACTGAATGGGGGGAAAATTTAGTTTATGTCCTTGTGCTTAGTGATATTGCTGTGTCTGGTAATTATTCATAAAGATAGTGCTTTGTGGTTTTTCTGTGTTTTATGACTAGATATTCTCCAGCCTTCATTACAGACAGTTGGCTCTGATAAAGATGGAAGTAATTTTTTTAGTGAAAAATAGGGAAGTATGAACATTAAAACAATGTTGGAACTAATAGTATCAGAAATATTGAGCTGAAAGAAATTTTGGCTACATTATCTTGCACTTGCACATATAAAGTAACTGAGGGCCTTAGAAATTAACTCCTGCCCAAGGCGTAGCTAGTAACTGACCAAACAGTTTTAGAAATATATTTAGTCTTGTTTTCAATGAAGAGAAGAGGGTACAATATTAGCATATGGTTTGGTTTTGTAGTACCAACTGGAACATTTCTAACAAGAGAAATTAATGTGGCTCCTGCAAGTTAGATGTGCTTATGTTTCAAAGATAATTTTGTAATTTATTATATTAAAACTATATTGATTACTCTTTTGCCTTTAAAGTGAGTATTAACGCTTTATATTTATTCTATTTGATGTTAATGGAATAATTTCAGATGGCTCATTTTATAACTTAAATTATATCCAAATTTAAAGGGTTTTTTAATAAAAAAGATGCCTATATTTTAAGTTTAACTTTATTTGGAAAGTTACACAAATATTCTTTTTTAAAATCATGGAATGTAAGCTTATAAATATTAAGTTGACCTCACAGCGCACTGAAAAAAACAAACAAACCCAAAAGTTATATTTTTCTTGAAAATAACTGTGAACTCTGAAAAAGAAATGTAAATGTTTTATTTAAATACAATATTGGTAAATTGTGTTTAAATTTTAACCTTATTTTTGCTTATAATAATGTATGATAATGATTGTAAGCAAATTCGTACTAAAAATTATTCAGAAATGACTGGAACAGAGAACAACCAGAAATACAAGCAGTGTTTAGAACAGGCTGTGACGCTAGAGACATTATCACCAATGTCAGATGGATCTTGGTTCAAAGCAGAGAATACCAGAGGAATGCTTATCTATGTTTCATTGACTATACAATGGCCTTTAACTATGTGGATCGTGACAGGTTGTGGCTAACCTTGAGAAGAATGGGAATCCACAACAGTTGATTGTGCTTATGTGAAACCCATACTTGGACCAGGAAGCCGTCCTCAGAACAGAGCAAGGAAACTGCATGATTCAAAATCAGGAAAGGAGTGCATCAGGGATACATCCTGTCTCCATACCTTTTCAATCTGTATGCGGAACCAAATAATTTAGGAAGCTTAACTTTGAAGAGAAATGTGGTATCAGGATTGCAAGAAGACTCATCAACCACCTATATTAGGCAGATGATACAACCTTGCTTGCTGAAACTAAGGAGGATCTGAAGTGTTTGCTACAAAAGATCAAGGACTGTAGTCTTCAATATGAATTGAAGCTTAACATCAAGAAAACAGAGATTCTTGCCACTGAACCAACTGGCAGCACCATGATAGATGCAGAAGAGCTTGAGATTGTTAACAATTTAAGCTTGCTCAGCTCCACAAATCAACACTCTTAGCATCAGCAGTCAGGAAATCAAAAGACAAATTGCATTGGAGAAGTGTGGTATCAGAGACCTCTCCAGAGTGCTAATGAGCAGTCACAATACTCTAGAGACTAAGGTGCACCTGATCTAGGCTGTGGTCTTCACAGTTACTTGCTAAGCATTAGAGAGCTGGACAATGACTAAGGATGATAGAAGAATTGATGCCTTTGTGTTGTGGTGTTGGAGAAGAATATTGAACATGCCATGGACTGCCAAGAAAACAAATAGGTCTGTCTTGGAGAGGGTAAAACCAAGTTTCTCCTTGGAGGCTAGAATTGTGAAGCTCCATCTCATATGCTTTGGGCACATGGCCAGGAGGGACCAATCCTTGGAGAAGAACATCATACTTGGAAGGGTGGACTCACACCCCCAGAGAAGCGAGGCCTCTGAGGTAAAAGTGGCAGCTCTACTGACTTCAGCACCAGTGTCTTATTCACATTGTCCATGATTTCTCATCACTACTATGTCTGTGTTGTGTTGCTGTTGTTATGCTAGGCTCTTGTGGCCTAATAGTAAGAAGTCACACTTAAGTCAAAAAGGCACACAGTTCAAATTCACCCACTGTCTGTACTCTAGTCAGTAGAAAATGAGAGAAGGGAGAAAATTCCTCTTACTTTTAAGAGTAAAACTTTGAAGGTCTATAACTGCTTCTTTTGATATCCCATTGCCAAAGTATAGTCCCATTGCCACACCTAGCTGCAAAGGAGCCCGGAAAATATAATCTCTCATTTGGATTTGTTGTTGTTTTGTGGCATTGTGTCGTCTGCAACCCTTAGGGAGCCTATGTACAGCAGCTCTGAACCCTGCACTATCTTGAGCCAGTTTCACTGACTCCAATGCACCTACCCCCATTACCTCAGTCACTGAGTCAATCCATCTCATCAAGGGTCTCCCTCTCCTGTGTTGTCTCTCCACCCTTACGAGCATGATGTCCTTCTCCAAGGACCAATCTCTCCTGGCCATGTGCCCAAAGTATGAGTGCTTCAAAATCTTAACCTCCAAGGAGAAACTTGGTTTCACCCTCTCCAAGACAGACCTCCTATTTGTTTTCTTGTTGGTCCATGGTATGTATGTTCAAGACTCTTCTCCAGCACCAAAACTGGTAGTTGTCTATTGTTTTGTCATCCTTAGTCTTTGTCCAGCTCTCTGATGCATAGCAAGTAATTGCAAAGACCCTGGCCAGGATTAGGCCTACCTTGGTCTTTAGACTGACGTAGTTGCTTTATAGCCATATAAAATCCCAAAACAAATTTCAGCGGGGTGTGGTTGATTCTGACTCATATGTGATCTCTCATCATATTGTAAGGCTTAAATCTTACCAGGAGGAGACAGCTCTTCTCTCCATTAGCAGCAACACCAGAGCTAAAATTTGAGTGGCTTAGTCCATAATGGAGCTGCTCTGCTAACCCAAAGCTTAAATCCATTATTAAAGCCCTACTTGTAGCCTCGTGGGTAAGTTGCTGCTCTTACAACCCTGAGGCAATCAGTTCATTCTTTGGAGAAAGAAGGGCAGTTTCCTCCTGTATGATTTACAGCCTCTGAAAGCCTGCTGGCGGGTCAGCTGTGAGTCAGTTCCAACTCTACTGCAATGACTGATTGATTGAAAAGAAAGCAATCCTAGGGGATAGCTCATGTAAACAGATGGAACTCCTGCTAAAATGTTTATGTTGTTGTTGTTGTTGATTGCCATCGAGTCAAGCACGACTCATAGCAACTCTATGAACAAAAGGCCTGAAGCCTTTCTAACTATCGCCATTTATCAAAATTCATAGCGAGGCATGCGGTTTAGGAAGAGGAGGCCACTCCTGTTTCCAATATGTATAAATGTGTTCCAAAGTGTGTATAACTCCTGCTAAAAATAAGTCAGTTTAAATACTACAAAGGGATAAGGATAAGCATTGAAGGGAAGCTTGTTATAGATAAGGATGTTGAAGAAGACTTATGAGAAAAATAAGAATTTATTAGAGAGTAGGATCATGTCAACATTGTTGTTGTAGTTGTTATGGGCCAGTGATCCTATATACAACAGTTCTGAACCCTGCTCTGTCTTGAGCCAATTTCATTGTCTCCAACACACTTACTCCCATTACTCCAGTCACTGAGTCAATCCATCTCATCCAGGATCATCCTCTTTTACGCTGTCCCTCCACCCTTCATGTCCAAAGTAGGTCAGATGAAGCTTTAGAATCATTGCCTCCAAGGAACAGCATGGTTTCACCCTCTCTAGGACAGTTTTACTAATAAATACCATTTGTTGCATAACTATTAGGTGTCTCAGTGGTTGGCAATTTACAAATACTTTTGTAAATCTGGAGATAGTCATGCATGTTGTTGTTGTTAGATGTTATCTATTTGATACTGACTCATAGTGAAAGTTTACAAATGGTACTGAGATTTAGAAAGTTGTGATTTGTCTTAAGGCTATGCAGCTAATGTTGTTGTTGTTAAGTGCCATCTAGTCTCAGGCGACTTATAACGACCCTATGAAGGAGAGTCCTCAAGCCTGATGCAGCTAATACTTACTTTAAATAGTGTGATAAAAGTATAGAAATTAACAGGTCTGCCCTGGAGAGGGTAAAATGAAGGAAGGTGGAGGGCCAGAGCAGGAGAGGAAGACCCCAGAGGAGATGGATTGGGACAGTAACTGGGGTAATGAGGGTAGGTGTGTTGGAGATAGTGAGATTAGCTCTGAATAGAGCAGGATGCAAAGCTATTGTGCACAGGGTCACTATGAGGTGCCAGCAACTCGATGGCACATAACAACAACAACAACATGTGCCAGATACTATTGTTGTTGTTGTTGTTGTTTTGTGCCATCGAGTCACCTGCGATTCATAGCGCCTCTTTGTACAACAGCCCTAAATTCTGCTCTATCCCATGTTAATCTTGTCTTCGACACGCACATCCCCATTACTCCAGTCACTGAATCAATCCACTTCATTGAGGGTCTTCTCTCCTGCACCGTCCCTCCACCCTCCCAAGCATGACATCCCTCTCCAAGGACTGATCCTGCCTTGCAGCATGTCCAAAGTATGTCAGACGAAGCTTCAGAGTCCTTGCCTCCAAGGAGCAGCCTGGCTTCACCCTCCCTAGGACGAACTTGTTTGTTCTCCTAGCAGTCCATAGTATATTCAACACTCTTCTCCAGCCCCACAGCTCAAAGGCATCAACTCTGCTTCTATCATCCCTAATCATACTATACTAACTCTTTAATCTCATTTTCTTGTTTACTCCTTACAACAACCTGAAAGTGAGGAGTGATTATTCCACTGAAGTCTGTGGGTGATACAAAATGGTTAAACACATGACTGCTAACTAAATAGTTGAACGTTGTAATCTACCCACTAGAACCTCATAATAAAGGCTTAATTGATGATCTACTTCTGAAAGGTCGCAGCCTTGAAAACCCTGTGGAGCACAGTTCAACTCTGAAGAACTTGGGTTTGGTTTTTTATTGTTAACCTTTTCTGCAAGTGAAGAGTAATTGTTTTCTTTCTCAGATAACTTTAATACTGAGAGTATATGAATTTTTTAAAGGAAGTATAGTCATTTATATATGACACATATTTTCTTCTGTAATTTATTAGCATTATTACATTTAAATATTCTGGTAAAAAGTATTGTTGTAGATTGCCTTCGAGTCAAGCACGATTCATAGCAACCCTATGAACAAAAGGCCTGAAGCCTTTCTGTAACTATTGACATTTATCCAAGTTCATAGAGTTTCCGGAGACATGTTGTTTAGGAAGTGGATGCCACTCCTGCTTCCTGGTAACAAAGAATAAATTTAAAATAAACTTTAATGCTTATGCCAAGATATTTCAAACTACTTTTCTTATAAAAAAAAAGTAAAAGAAATTTAAAAGTACAAACTGTGTTTTATTTGTTTTTAGCATGTTTGCAAAGCACTTAAAGAATTATACCATGTTGAATGTTCATCTGAAGATGTTTTCAATTTGGATTCCAGCAGTGATAAGAAATTTAGCCGCCATTTAGTATTTCAACTCCATGATGTGGCATTTAAGGATAATATTCATGTTGGTAAGTATGCTAGTAAAACAACTCTCTTGCCAACCTGTGATTGTACCTTAAATTTTTGTGATTGATACGTTCTTTTGAGTTGGCTCTCAGCCAATAAGATAGCACCTAAAGGTCCCTGCCTCTGGTTACTATACAGTCTCCTCCGGTGCAATTTACAGCCTCAAAAACCCAATAGAGGGTCAGCTGTGAGTTGCTTTTGGCTGAAGGACAATGAGTTTGAGGGTTTTTTCCCTTTTTAATGGGAGTGGGAATGATGAGATTGGAGAAGTGGAAAACAGGGTTTTTTTGCTTCTGATTCCCATTATGTTAGCATTTATACAGGCTCACTACCATGGTTTACCTGTTAGCTTCCTGACAAGGTTCAGAGGCCTCACTAGCCTCATAACACTCATCACAGCTATCCCTGGTGGTTCAGTGACTTGGTTGCCAACCAAAAAGTCAGCAGTACAAACTTACCAATTGCTTTATAGGAAAAAGACCTGAGAAATCTGTTCCCATATGTATTATAGCCTAGAAAATCCCCGTGGGGCAGTTCTCTGTTATATATGGTTGCTAAAAGAAGAATCTGACTCAACATCACACAATAAGAAATAGATGTTGTTTTAAGTTTCCTGGAAAATAAACTCGTCTTAATTTACATTTCATTGCTTTGTTTTCTTTCTGCTGTCCTGATATCTTTTTCACTCTGTGTTTACTTTACTTACTATTCTTATTCCAGAGTTGATCATGTTTATTTATCAAGTACTTTTGCTTTCATTTTAATGCTGTTATATAAGAAATTTTCTTTCCTTTAGTAGGATAGTTACTAAATCTAATTTGGGTAAAAGGAATTTTGAATTTAGAACATGTTTAATGTGATTCAGAATTCAAGCCTGTCTGATAAACAAAGTGACAATTAAGTACATAACCATTTCAGAAACTTTTCTTACTGTATTTCTACATGAAGCAAATTAGCAACCAAGCTATGACTTAATTTTCCGATATACATAACATATAAGAACTGAAAGAAGTTTAAATTGTTTTACAACTCTGCATTATAAAAATTTGAACTAGTAATATCAAGCATCAGAACACAGTAAAAACATTTATCTTTTAAAATTAATCACTAAAAACTACTGCCTTTATATTTTAAAAAGATGATGATAATCTGTTGTAATCCAACTATATAATAGCAGTGGTCACTTAATAAGCTCTGTGCTGCATGATTCACTTCTCTAATCATCTTACCTTCTCAGTTATTATTATTATTATGGTGTTGCAGATGAGGAAGCTCACTCAGTCACATTAAGTTATTTACCCAGTATTACACAGTTGGTATAATGACAGACATAGAGTTTGAAGTCAGAGATCTAATTCTTTCCATTGCCCTGTGTTGTTACTTATATTTACTGGAAAAATGCACACCGTCATATATATTTGTACCAGTCTGATTTTCTTATCATTTATCATCATGTGGAACAAATTTATCCTTTCCCCAAATATCCTCACTCCTGCACCTGGTGCCCCATGACTCAAATCTCTTCCTCTCCAGTTGTTCTTTCTGACAGCTCTGTGTCCCCAGTCTTGCTGTCAATGGCTTATTGTTCACTGAGCAAACACCTGTTTCTCACTGCTGTGCTTCTCTTGAAGCAGGATGAAACTGGACGGGAGAGAAAGTGGACATTAGTTCCAAGGCTGTGCCTCTCACCCTGAGGGAGAAGTTAGAGTAGCAACAACTTTGGCACTGATGGCTGTGAATGTCAGGGTTTTTAGGGCATGTCATGGCAGGTAAAGTTCCTACTGACAATTCAAGGAGGACCTGGTGGAGGTTTTCTCAGTGGATCTGGGAATTTTCTTGGCAACATGTAGAGTTTACTGGTATAAACCCTTTACCTTCAATCTTGAGTCATTGATTGTGAAGGAACTACTTCTGCTCACTTTCTATTAATAGAAGTGGTGCTTATTCCACACCCCCCCTCCCCCCAAGTATATTAGGCTCAGGTCCATACAAGTAAAACTGACACATTTTCTTAAATTGACCTTTTTGTCTGAAACAATTTGTTTACAAGTTCCACCAAGCTCCTAGGTCAGTGGGAACTGAAAAAGTGAACAGTTGCACAAGAGGAAGGAAGTTACCAGAAAGGCATGTTGATGTACAGTTTATCTTGATATGTGTAATAACTCAATTTAAACCCTCAAAATAAAAGTCTTCCTGTATAAAATTCCTTTGTCTGGACCTAAAACTTCGATCTTAACTTATAGTTGATGTAAAAAAAGATTTGTTGTTGTTGATTGCCATCGAGTTGAGCACAATTTGTGTATATATATGATGAACAAAAGGCCTGAAGCCTTTCTATAACTATCATCATTTCTCCAGGTTCATAGACTTTCTAGAAGCATGTGGTGGTGGTTTAGGAAGTGGATGCTACTCCTCCTTCCAAATCTGAATCAATCTGGGAGCTCCACCAAACACTGCCCATGATACGTACCCATTATGGTGTTTTGACACACCTACAGCACAGTTGTTCAGCATTACAGCAACTCTGAGTTACTTCAGTGGAGCAAATAGATCACTGCTATACCACTTAAAAGAATGTTCATCCCAAATCAGTTAACATTAGATTAACCATAATGCATTATTTCCTCTCTTAGGCAATTTTGTGAGAAAAATTTTACAGCCAGCTTTTAGATTAATTGCCAGTGAAGGTGATGATATGATTCAAGAAACAACACACCATGAATGTTCCCATATTTCTGAAGCATTGATAGAACCAGGACCTTCTCTCAGTACAACAACTACAGAAAAGGAGAGAGAGGAGACCTGGACATTGAACCCAGAGAAGTTGGAGAGGCTGGGTGCAACTGAGGAAGGCAGTCCTGACCTCTCATTTTTAGTTGTAAAGAATGACACAGGAGAAAAACATCTTTTTGTAGATCTAGGTAAGTGAAATGGATAACTATCTTGCATTAGATTTCTCTTGGGTACTTTCATAGGAGACTTTTCCGTGACTGCTTGTCCCTCTGCTACTACCACTTCTCCACGGTGGTAGGGTGGAGTCATTAGCAGAGTGTAAACTGTGAACTCAGATTATTGGAATCCACTTTTTCTGTTCAGATATCTGAGAGAGAGGTCGCTGTGCAACAGAAGCACCAGATTACCTTGGCTCAGAAGACAGTGGCATGACTTCTGCTTGAGATGCTCAAAGGATTTGTGTTAAGGAAGCCGTGATGGAACAAGTAGACCAGCACTCTTCAGAATGCTGCTGAGAGGCTAAAGTAGATCAAATGAATTTTAAAAAAACAGACACTGTAAAAAGTGATACTCTTATGTGGTAAAGTTAAGACTGAATGATTCTTCACAAGAATTCTGTGGTACTGGCAGGCTTGTTGATAGTGCTGAGGCCACTTCAGATTTCCTGCCATGACATCTTCACAGATTCTCTCTTCTGTCTCTAAATATGAAAAAGCAGGAAGTCAAAGCTGCAGCCTGATTAGGTAACACAGGCCTGGTCTGGTGTCTGCAATTTGGTGAATTAGATCTTGTTTTCATATTCAGGTACTCACTTTTTTTAGTTCACAAAAACCTGTAAAAACAGCTTTTAACTTTTGCACTCTTCAGAAAGCTTTATTATCTAAAGGCGTAATGAAAGTAGATTTAAGCTAGAGGCAAGATAACCAAGCCAACAGTAATGCCCAACGTAGGGAAGTATTCCTGCTATAGATAGAGAATCTCTGATCCATGGGTGGTACAGTCAAGCACTTGCCTACCGGGAGAAAGATTGGTACTTCATACCCCCCCAGGGCCTTGGAAGACAGTTTGGCTGTCTGTTCCTTTAAAACCCTTTGGAGCAGTTCTACCTACACACATGAGTGACCATGCTGGGGTCAAGGACAAGTAGCAACAATTTGTTAAATATAAACATAGAAGATTGCATATCATTCTGGCACCGCTGATAACCTAGAGCCAGGATTTGAAAATATGCTGATAAATGCAGTGCTTTGCTTTGAACATGAGCAATCATGTGAGTTATAGTGGAGGAACACATCCTGTCCAGAGAATTAACCTGTGATGAGCTGGGAGACACGTGTAACATAAGAACTGCGATAATCAATAACTACTCTACCTCAACTCCACTATCAAGACTCCAAACAGAATACCCAATTCATGACAAGTCTAGCTTTGAAAGTTAGATTGTTAGACTGAGAGGAAATGTTCCAGATCTTCTAGAAATAGATGTTCTTTCATTGATCTTGTTCTACGCAGAACAAGGATAAATCTCACAGACATAAGAAAAAGAAACCAGAGGTAAAGAAGAACACATACTGTATTATTTCAGTTACATAAAGTTCAAAACCAGGTAGACCAAACTATGCTAGTGAAGAGACTGAATAGTGGTCCCGCCTGGGGAGAAGGGGAAAGTCCCTGGGATGGGGAATTAAGCAAACTCTAGGCCCTAGTAATATGTTCCTTGTCTTGAGGGGTGTGATAACAAGGGTTGTTTACTTTATGTGTATTGAGTCATTGAGTTACATATTCACTAATTATGCTTTGTTTCTGTATGAAACTTAATTTAAAAATAATCTGCCAAAGGAAAAACTGACATGTAATAGTAAATCTCTAAAACTTTCAAAAGGTAATTTAGGTAATGACTGGCTGTCCAAAATCATCTAGTTGGCTATTTCTGGATATAACTTCCTTACATGCTAACTCCAGTCTGTTTTTAATTTATATTGCTTTTGTTTTTGTTTATGCTCTTTCATAAAAAAGCAGTTTCTTATATGCTGAATATAAAAACTAATTGCTGCAAATGTACTTAACTGTTAATTTTTTATGCAGGAGTTTATACAAGAAATAGAAACTTTCGGCTGTATAAGTCATCAAAAATAGGAAAACACATAGCTTTGGAGGTTGCTAAAGATAACAGATTTTCTCCTAAACAATCAGAGAGTATTTGTGAAGAAAATCAGTATTTCCTCTCTTCTTTGGTCAGCAATGTCAGGTATTTCATACCGGAATTAAACCATTTTATATTTATGAATATTTGATGAGTAGAGAATGGCATAAAGTGTGAAGCATGTAAATTAATTCTATCTTAATTTTTTTAAAGTTTTAAAAATTCTATTTTAACT